CTGGCCGCCCGCGCGCCGCGGCCCCTGGGCCTGCATCTCGCGCGCCAGTCGCTGCAGCTCCTCGGCGCCTCCAGGCCGAGGGTCGGGAGCTGGGGTGTGGGGGGCGAGGGGGGGGGAACGGAGTGAGGGGGTGGAGGGGCGGCGGGGGAGGGGGGGGGGGCAAGCTAGGTGCGCTCGCGTCATACCTGACGTCCTACCCCTCCCTCCCACCACTTACCATGGCGAAGAGTTCCTTTCTATTCGCGCAATCGGATGTCGCAGCAGGGCAGAGCATTACACGGCATAGCATGGTGTTGAAGATCAACGCGTAGCCTGACGCCCCAAAGTGGGGGGGGACTTCTGCGGCCCAAAATATCAGCGAATCGGCACCGACAGTGCAATCACTTCCGATGGTTTCTTCGGGGGGGCATTTTCTAGTTTTGGGGTCCTATTTGGAAGGACCGAAAACCATGCCGTGGCATGGCGCTGGAAATTATGACGCCAACGCTGCAGCGGGAGCACGATTCGGAACGAGCGGAAGCGCGGCAATAAAGCCAACGCTGCAACGAGAACACGATTCGGAATGAGTGGAAGCGCGGAAATGAAGCCAGCGCTGCAACGGAAGCACGATTCGGAACGAGCGGAAGCCCGAAAATGAAGCCAACGCCTCAGCGAGAGTAGCATCTTGACAAACAACACAAGCGAAAACCCAACTCGCCGACATCCTGTGTGGAAGAAAGCAATAGGGGAGGGGGGGCCGAGCACTCCGAGACAGGGGAGAGAGGGGCGTGTTATTCATATTGAATAATTGTTTAGGAGATGGTGAGAGGGGGGAAGGGGGGTGAGTGGCCGGGGGGCGAAGGATGGGAGAGGGGGGGGGGCAAGCCAAATGCGTTCTCGCCGTATCGTACATCCTGCCATCCCACCCAACCCTTCCCGTGACGCGGGTTTTCCTCTGTTCGCCGACGGGTGTCGCACCCGATCTGGAACCCCCCAAAGACCCCATCGCCTTATGCGCAAACACATAAAAAAGGGGACTGTGTACGCTGGAGAAGTGGAGGAGGAGCAGGAGGTGGCGGATGAACAAGCGGATGAGCAAGATGATGGGGATTGCGGAAGAAGGGTTGCAACACAAAGAGCGGGGTTAGGAAGAACGGGATGAGCTGCAGGACCAAGGAAGGCGGAGGAGGGGAAAAAGGGGCGACAACGCCGAATAACGCCAAAATCAGGCTGGCGCTGCGGCGACAACGCCAGCCTGAACGACGGAAACACAACGAAATTCGTGACATGAGGCCAACACTGCAACGGGACCACCGTTCTGGAAGGCCCAAGAACGTTCGGACAAGAAAATCATAATAATGACCATCACCTTGTTGAGAATCCCGTGAATGAAAAACAGCACGCGGAAGGGGGGCGCGCTGCTCTCAACACGTCCTTGGGGGAGAGAGGGTCATCGTATTCATACTGGTCATGCGTGGGGCCGAAGGGGTGGGAGGGGGGAGATGGATGGGATAGGGGGGTGGAAAGGGGGGGCGGGAGAGGGGGTGAGGGGTGGGGGGGGCGTGTGGGTCACATTGCAAACAAAGCAGCCACTTTACGACCAGATGGGGAACTTTACAACCAGCATGGGTTTTCCCAGAAGGGCACTTTACAACCAGAGGCCCCTTTACAACCAGGCGGGTAAACGCACATAAACGACACATGTCCTTCAATTTCCGAAATCTCCGTCGGTTCACGTAAAGGAGACACTTCGCTCTCTGAAACATGTTGGTTGTAAAGTGACCCGTCTGAAGCGAGAACCTGTGAAATGGCGGATTCCTAATGGGATCCAACAGGATTCCGATTGGAATCCTATTGGCACCCTTCCCACTGGGATCCTGTTGGCACCAGATGAATCCCATTGGTATCCAACAAGACTCTTCGATATAAGGCCTGCGGGTGTCCTATTTGAATCCGATAAGGATGCTTCCTCTTGAAACCCGTTGAGCCCTTCCTAATGGAAACCGATTGGAAACCCCATTGGACTACAATCGAGAAACCGTTCTATTTGAATGCCGCGGGAAACGCACCGGGGGTACTAGATGGAAACCCGGTGGGTATTCTCGTGGGTACCCGTTCGAAAGCAATAGGACACCTTTTTCTTGGAGTCCCATCAAAACCATCTTGGCGAATACGAAGGAGATCGCATTGGAATCCAATCGGAATCGTTCCTTTACGATCCATACGGGCATACTACTGGGATCCCACCAAGACCCAACTGTAACTCAACAAACCTGTCCTTTTTGATTCATAGTGCCCCGATTGGCGTGCTATTGTTATCATCGTTGTGGTATCCAGGAAAAACCATTGAAACCCAATTGAAATCACATAGATATCCTCCCGCTACAGGCTGGTGACAGGCCCCAACGGTTAGTAATTTATCCATGCCCTAAATCTACATAGATTTTGGGGCCTGCCCGAAAAGCATTTTTTTTTCTTTCTGAAAGCCGAGAACAGTAAGCGTTCGCCGCAAAAAAAACGAAGTGGAACACGCCAGCTTCCGCGAGAGCGGGGATGTGGCCAAGAAGTCGCTGGTAAAATCCTAACCAATACATGCGCCTCATCGTCTGGCCGTCAGAAACCATGTTTGTCATCCCGCCACATCGTCTGGCAATGACAACAACACTTCTGTGTTCATAATTGCGGAAGCATGCGTACCCAGGAGGGCGGAAATGTTGCCAAGAAACCGATGGTCAAATTCTAGCCGATACATTTGGATTTCAATTTGTGTGTTTGGCTTCACACACAACTTTAGTCCTCGCGCCTCAACGTTTGGCAATGGCAGAACCGTATGTTTTCGCATTCGCGGTCGCATGCACACCCAGGAGGGCGGAACAGTGGAACAACATCGATGGTAACATTCTAGCCAATACGTGAGGATTTCAAACTATTTTTTTGTTTTCTTTCTTTCTTTCTTTCTTTCTTCTTCTTGTCTTTAACATAGACCATGTTTGTCCGCGCGCCTCATCGTCTGGCAATCACGAAAACCGTATGGTTTCGGAATTGCGAGCATGCATGACCAGGAGGGCGGAAGCGTGACCAAGAAATCGATGGTAACAATCGAACCACTACGTGTGGATGCCAATTTGTTGTTTTTGGCCTCGCAAACAGCTGGCGTCCTCGCGCTTCATCGTCCGGCAATCGCAAAACCGCATGTTTTCGCATTCGCGGGAGCATGCGTACCCCGGAGGGCAAACATGTGGCCAAGAAATCGTTTGTAAAACTCTAGCCAATGCTCGTTGATTTCAAATTCAGTTTTTTTTGCATCATAAGCCATGTTTGTCCTCGCGCTCCATCACAATCGCAAAACCGTACATTTGCGCAATTGCGGAAGCATGCGTGCCCAGGAGGGCGGACAAGGGCAGAAGAAATCGTTGTTAAATTCTAGCCAATGCATGCGGATCTCAATTTGTATGTTTTGGCATGGCAGGCAGTTCTTGTTCTCGCTTTGCAGAGCGCCCAGGCGCTCAAGAACGCTCTGGCGCTCAGACGCCTCTGCAAAGCGCCAAGGTGTTCAGAGTCCTTTGCAAAGCGCCCAAGCGCTCAGAAACCCCTGCAGAACGCTCAGGCGCCCATGCCTCTGCAGAGCGCTCAGGCGCTCAGACGCCCCTGCAAAGCGCCCAGGCGCTCAAAAACATCTGCCTCTGCAGAGCGCTCAGGCGCTCAGAAGCCTCTGCAGAGCGCTCAGGCGCTCATAAGCCTCTGCAAAACGCTCAGGCGCTCAGAAGACTCTGCAGAGTGCTCAGGCAGTTCTGGTTGTAAAGAGCTCCGTCTCGGTTGTAAAGTGGTCGTTCTGGCTGTACAGTGGGATGTTCTGGTTGTAAAACGGTCGTTCTCAAAGGAAAGCCAGGGAATTCGATCCTTTGCTGGTTGACTTTTCTGGGTTGCAAAGTGTCGTTCGGGTTGTAAAGAGACCGAATCTGTTGGGGGTGGGTGGGGGTGCGGAGAGGGGGGAGAGGGGTGCGGAGGGGAGAAGGGGGGTGGGGGGGCGGGCAGGAGGGAAGGGATGGAGGGGTGGTGCCGTATTTACTGCGGCGCTGTATTCCGCTTCGCTCTGTTTGATGGGGGAAGTGGCGTGGTGTTCGCAACACCTAGCCAGCCCTTGTAGTGCCATGAAGTCAGGTGTCGGGCAACAAATAGTGAAGGAGGACATATAGCAAGCAAGGTGATTTCTATCACCCAAGTGTGCGCGGCACCAGATCAACTCTCGCAAAAATGGGAGGGTCGTCGGGTGTGCGAGGCATCAAACCAACATTCGCAATACCAATCCTTTGTCCTCCTCCTCCTCCTCTTCTGCATCTTTTTAACTCAATGCCTCGCTGCGGCCATTGTGGAACAAACATACAAAATAAACACGCCTACTCAATGGATATTCTGCCGGCGTTGCAACCGTGAAACTGCCAAAACTACTCCGGTGAACAAGTGCACATCTGTGTACTCTCTCTCTCTCATCCCCTGTCTCCCTCTCTCTATATAGTTATACTCTCTACTCTCTACCATCAATTCTCTGATCTCTCTCTGTCCCTCTCTCTCTCCCCTGAACTGTGCTCTGTAGTCAATATTCTCTGACCTGTACTCTCTACAATGTGCTCCGTCCTGATGGCCGTCACTCTCCGTCCGTGCATACCTGACTAAATAGATACACGCTCTATCGAATTGTCTATATATCTATATACATTACTACTCTGTTATCTTTGTATGTAATCAGAAATCGCTCTGCTCTCCGTCCTCCAAGATATACTTCGTATTGTCTCGGCTCGGCTCAACTCTCTACTTTACGATCTGTATTCTCGAATCGAAACCACTATTCTTGGCTGCGGCCAACAACTTGAGCCCCCAAACCTTCCAGAGCCGGGCAGAAACCCCAAACCCAAAACCAAAAACCTGCGGCGGGAACTTGGCCGCCCATCGAAATCGGCGCAAAACCCGGGACATCGGGAACCCAACTGTCTACCGAAATCGGCCCAACACTTTTGCGGGAACCCAGAACCGAGAACACGGTTGTCCGGCCGCCTACCGAAATCGGCCGGGTACTTTCGCCAACTCTTCGATTTCCGCTGGGACGCCTTCAGTGCAAGCACTGATTAGGGAAAAAGACGGGGGGGAGGGTGGGAGGGAGGAGGGGGGAGGAGGGGGAGGGAGGGAGGAAGAGGGGAGGTGAGGGGAAGGATTGGGAGGGCTGGGGAAGGGAGGGGTGGGGATGGAGGGAGGGAGGGAGGGACGGGAGGGGAGGCGGGGGGGGGGCAGGGGGCAAAGGCGGAAAAGGTTCCTCCTCGTCCTCCTCCTCTCCCCTTCTCCCCTCCCTCCCTCCTCCTCTGCTTGCCTCGCCCCTCCCTCCCGCCCTACTCCCCTTGCTCACTTTTCCTCCTCCTCCTCCTGCTCCTCCTCCTCTTCTTCTCCGCCCTTCCCCTGGTGCTCCTCTCCCTCAGAATCCTCCATCGGTGTGTTCGCCGTTCCCCAGCACAAGACCAACTCCTCCACCTCCTCCTCCTCCTCCTCCTCCTCCTCATCACCCCGGTATCCCCTTCTTCTCTTTCTCATCCTCCTGCCTGCCACATCGTGGATACCAGCGGATTCCAGCGAATTCAGCATACTCATCATCATCACAATCACCATCACCATCAACATCACCATCACCGTCACCATCATCACCATCATCACCATCATGATGATCATGAATCTGACCACAATCGCCATCACCAATAACATCATTACATATACGACCACCCTTCGGGTGATAAGGAGGTTGTGTGGGGGGGGAAGAAAAGGGGGGAACCAACATCTGACTCAATCGATCTCACTATCAATCTCACTCAACGGGACACCACGGGACAATTGTCGATCTCACTATCGATCTCACTCAACGGGACACCACGGGACACCACGGGCCACCACGGGATATCACGGGACACCGCGGGACATCTCTCGATCTCACTATCGGTCTCACTATCGGTCTCACTATCGATCTCACTCAACGGGACACCTTAGGACACCACGGGACACCATGGGACACCTCGGGACACCACATCGATCTCACTATCGATATCACTATCGATCTCAGTCAACGGGACACCACGGGACACCCGCGGGACACCGGCGGGACACCTGCGGGACACCAACGGGACACCGGCGGGACACCGCGGGCCACCGGCCGCCGGAGGAGAAACATTTGGTCCGGCCGCGGCCCAGCCACAGGAGGATTTCGGGACACCAGCGGGACACCGGCGGGACACCGCGGGCGACCGGCCGCCGGAGGAGAAATATTTGGTCCGGCCGCGGCCCAGCCACAGGAGGATTTCCTCTCGCCCGCCCAGGCAGCTTCGCCTCGCCCGCACGCACGCAGGGCACGCACGACACGAACCCGAAACCGAAATCGAGTTCCGGTAGGGGTGGTCTCCGTTTCACGTCGGACTCACCCCACAACCTCCGATAATCATCCGCATCATGATTGTCATTACTATCAGCATTAGCATCAGCATCAGCATCAGCATCAGCATCACCATCATCATCATCATCATCATCATCATCATCAGCATCATTATCATCATCGTCATTATCATCAACAACATCATCAGCATCGTCCTCATGAGTATGGCCACTTTCGCCGTCACCACTGGCATAATTAAGCGTCACTAGCATGCTCAACATCAACATCAACATCAACATCATCAACATCGTCATCATCTTTGTCATCATGATCACCATCATCATCATTATCATCATCATCATCATCATCATCATCATCATCATCATCACCGTCATCATCATGTTCATCATGCGCATCAGCACCACGATCATCGTCATGCTTATCAGCATGACCACCACCACCATTATCATCATCACCGTCATCATTACCATAACCATATTTAGCATCAATATCCTCATTACCATGATCACCAGGATGCGTATCATACCCATGGCGACTCTGATGATGTGATGCTGAATCTATTCAATATCATCAAGACGATGACAACGATGCTGCTACTGCTGATGATGATGACTCTCAACATGATCAACAACATCATCACCATGATCATCATGACCATCGTCACCACCATCACCATCACCATCACTATCATCATCTTGCCCATCCCGCTCCCTCTATCTCCTCCGTTCCGCCCCTTCCGCTTGCCGTGCCCTCTATTGGCGCCTACGCCTCCGCGTACGTCGAACGGGTCATCGAGCTCGAAGTCGATGCCCTCCTCGTCGTCCGAATCCCTGGGGCTCCGAACACAACTAGTGTACTACGCAGCACGCACTGCACGCAACTGAATACCCTGGAAAATTGGAAGGGCACAGCGCCTGCGGGAGAATATAACGCGTTGCACTGGGGCTAGGAAGCAACTCCTGGGAGGTCATCGTGAGAACAATCAAGGGCTAACAAGCATGATTAAGCAACCACTAAGCCAAATTAACCGATACCAAATACACCTAAGCTCAGGATTACGCAAGCTGGCCGGATCAATCTGGAGTATGCGGGATTAGGCTGGTGTTCGACAGCGGATATACTAGGACATATGCTCATGTTAATCTCCCAAGAATTACATCCTGTCGGGGTGTAGCGAGTGCCGCTTCGTAGGTAACTCTAATTGGCCCCCGGCCGTCCTTTTGTTTCGCCTCCACCTCCCTTGTCCCTCCACCTCACAGGACCTCCCCCTCCTCCTCTCCCTCCTCCTCGTCCCCCTCCTGCCTGCCTCCTCCTCCTCTTCCATGTCCCCCCACTCCTTCTCCGCCTCCACCTCCAAATCCCTTCCTCCTCCTCCGCCTCTACCTCCTCCTCCCTCCTCCTCGCCCCCTTCCTGTCGCCCTGCCCCTCCTCCACGCCCTCCAATTCATCTGTTCCGTCCCTGGCCCTGGCTAATTGGTCCATGTTGCGGAGAAGACAGCCCTCTGGACCTCCAAGCAATAGATTTTGAATTCTCGGTTCTGCGGTCTCACGAGTGTTCAAGACGGCCCAAGAGCCCACCCCAGATCGCTCCAAGACGGAATCCGAGACTCACAATAGGGCTCATTAGGCACCTCGGACGGCCCAAGAGGATCACCTGAACTCCTATTTCGAGCCGTGCCCCCAAGATGGCCCCCCAGACCGCCAGCAGGCCAGCAAGAGCCCGCCAGAGGCCCTGAAGAAGCCCCAAGACTCCTCCAAGAGGCCCCCAAGATACTCCAAACAAGTTTCCAAGAGAACCCTTGTCCGCGACCCAGGCACGGTGGCGGCGGATGGGCCGAAGGCCACTAGATAGGAAGAGGCGGAGAATGAGGAGGATCAGAGGCATTAGGAGGAAGAGGTGGAAACGAGAAGGTGGAGGAGGAAGAGGAGGAAGAGAGGAAGACGGCATCGTCGTGAACGACGACGACTGGCCACGACGGGCACCTCCGCAGTGCAATGCGACGACGACGACGGAGGTCGCCAAAGGTCTCCGGAGGCACCACGGGGTTGCACGAAGGCCTCCAGCGAGGCCCGACGAGGGTGCCCCAACGCACAGGAGAGAGGCCTCGGTCCTCGACGGTCGATCGCCCGTCGCCGCTCGGGCGGCGGCGGCGACCCTCGGCTGCATCAGTGAGGGGAGCCAGGAAGATGGGGGCTCGCGCATCACGGCCCCAGGCATATTCGCAGACGAGGGCGGCGATGGGAGCGTGATGAGAGAAGAGAGGGCCCTGAGACCTGGGAGATAGCATGGCCCCGGCACCGGGTCCCCTGACCTGGGGTCCTGGCCATACCCGATCGATGTCTCATGGCTGTCGGGTCATCACTCGGGCCGCCGGCGGCCGTTCGGGAGACTCCGGGCACCCCTGCAAGGCCCTCGACGAAGCGCAGCCGCCAGAAAACACCCCGAGGCTTGAAAACCGCAAAGGACTAAGAAGAACTTGAACGTTCGGGGGGGACTGGCTCAGGGAGGAAACCATCGAGATGGATTCGGCGATGCATCGCCGATGGATCGGCGATGGGCCCCCGATAGCGAAACCACAAGGTCCTGGGCGGGGCGGGCTTTCGGGCCCCCGTGGGCGATCACGAGGCGATTGGGGGTCTACGCATCGAGAACGACCGACGAGAACTTCTTCTTGGACGCCCTCGACATCTTAGCATGAAAAGATACGGACGGGTCCTGAGGGAAACGGTTCCTGGACCCCAAGACTTCCCCGTAGGACCACTTCTCCATCCCGAGTCGTTTTCTCAACCACTCCCGGGGCCCGTGGAAGGCCCTGGGACGCCAAAAACGGGGAACTACCCAGGACCTGCCTTCCTCAGGACTCGTTTCCTCAACTAGCGGAAGAAACTAAAACGGCATAAACATACAACATCCAGAGCTCCGAACGGAATTCCTGGATCGGCGCTGGGCCCGCCTCCCTGGCGCGCGGAGCGCGCCAAGGGCGGCGCTGGAGGCGCTGCTGGAAGGGCTGCCGGCGCCGATCCAAGAAACCCGCGCCGAGCCCCGAAAAATCATGTTTATGCAGTTGTTTGTCCTTCGATTCCGCCCCGCGGCCGCTCTGCCCCTCTTTTCCTCCTCCTGCCGCCGGTTACTTCGCCCTTCCCGCTGCCTGGACCGCTCGAGCGCGCGTGCGGGCTGCCCCTGCCGCTGGACGAGCGCGCTCCACTATCCGCAACTCAAGCACTCGCAAATGGCCTGGATCCGCCGTGGGGGATCTGCGGTAGATTACGTCGAAGCAGGCGCGCGACTTTCGGAGGTTTGGGAGTAGGCACTTTGCGAGTAGTGTTAGGTCGGACGTGCCCGGCGTGCCCCCCTACAGGCGGATTTTGGGTGAAAAATAAAATAGTCAAGAACAACTTCCCCAAATGCTCAAAAATAGTCAGAAAATCGCCCCCAGACTGTTTTTTACGATTTTTGAATATTCCTCCTGTAGAGGGACAGGCCCGACTTAAGAGTAATGGAACGCGTTCGGTGAGCGACGTAAAAGCTCTTCGGTGCACGGCGAGCGACGGCCCGCCAACGACGGCCGCCTGCCGGAGCTCTCCGGGCTGCGCTCCGCCTCGGGCGCGTCGCCCCGCGGCGGCGCCATTCGGGCGGGGCGGGCGCGCCGGCTGGCGGCGGGCGCCAGTTTGGCTCCTCGTCGTCGTCGTCGTCGTCGTCGTCGTCGTCGTCGTGGTCGTCGTCGTCGTCGTCGTCGTCGTGGTCGTCGTCGTCGTCGTCGTCGTCGTCGCCGTCGCCGCCGCCGCCGCCGCCGCCGCCGTCCGCCGCACGTCGGGCGGGAGCGGTGAGGGGGCTTGGAGGGGGAAGGCGAAGCGAGAGCGGGGAGGGAGGGAGAGAGGGAGGGATGGATGGAGGGAGATGTCGCGAAGAGGAATGCGTAGGAGGGCGTATGAGAAACATGAGGGATATACACGAATAGGAGTGGTGAAAGAGAGGAGGCAGGACAAGGAGGAACGGTAAGGAGGAAAGAGTGAGGAGGAGACTCTCCCAGGGACACCGTGGGGCTGCTGCAGCCGACTACTTGGAGACGCCAGAATTCGCCCAACAATCGATGAATTACTCACGGCGTGGGCTGATTTCAACACGTCTGACCTAAGGAGGTGGAGGATGACGAACAGATCCTGGAGAAACCAACAAGTACCGACACCGCCACTCCCTGGACCTCTCTCGGGATGCGTTCCGACGAGAATCTCGAGGCGAACCCAGCAGTGGCGACTAGGAGGCCCGAACAAGCGAAACCAAATGAAAGGGTAGCGGTATCGGAACAGCTCCTCCTCCTCCTCCTCCTCCTCCTCCTCCTCCTCCTCCATGGAGCTTGCGGTAACACAGTGGCGAGGCGGGCCCAGGGGGGACCCGTTGCCGCCAGAGCCGGCAGCGAGCGCGGCGCCACTGGCGGGGCCAGCGGCGGCGCCAGCGCCTGCAACGCGCGCGCTGGCTGCTCTGGGGGGGGGGGACGGCTGGCTCGAGGATCCTCTGGATGGAGGCACCTGGAATTAAGTCGGGCGTGTCCCCCTACAGTCGGATTTTGGACGAGGAGTAACAAGTAAAACAATGAAGTTAAACATGAAAAATGCTCAACACATCGTCCCCTGACTAGTTTGCTTTGACAATGTTCGGATATTCCTCCTGTAGAAGGAGACGCCCGACTTAAACCTGGAACCGAGGGACGACACACACGACCATGACCAAGATATCGCTGGATCTTGTCGACGCCGACCGCGGCCATGATCCATACTGGTCTTCGCCGATCCGCGAGGACGATCCACGAGGTGACGATGACCAGAGTGGGCGGTGACCGAGATTGACACCGAAGCTTCCACGGCCAATCTTGGCCCTCGTCCTCGCTTGGTTTCCCTCTGTGGAAAGTCCCTGGAGGACGGCCCAAGCCCTCTCGCGTCACGAAAGGACCACGGCGGGCATATTATTTGGCAACTCTCGGCTTCGCGGGGCCTTGCCGGGCCCTGGGACCGTTGAAGACGGCTCGGTGTGAGAAACCAACCCTTGGAAAGGGGGTCCAGACTTCTGGGGGGGTGCGCGCTGCGGAACACAAACGCGACATCTGCTGCTCGTCGTCGACGTCGCGCTCCTCGTCGCCCTCCCGCTCGCTGTCTTCCTCCTTCTCTTGCTCATCTTTCTTGTCGTCATAATGCCGCTGCTGCTCATCCTTCTCCTCCCGCTCCTCTTCCGCCTTCCTCTCCTCCTGCGGTCCATCCGCAACCATTATTGGCTCGAGGCGGCAAACTGGTGCCGCTTGCCATGTAACATACTCCAAAGGTGCCATGGCGGTCAGCCTTCCGGGAAGCCCCCCGCTGGCCGCGCAGGCAGTGTTTGGGGTCATCCTAGGCATGACGACGGCCAATCTTGGCAACAAGCAGCTGCACAACGCTTTGGCTGCGGCAGCAAGAGGGGCCGTACGAAGTGATGTTGCCGGACCTGTGCGAGATGCCGATGGTGCAAATATCCGTGCATCGGCTTCTTTGGTCCCTTCAGTGCAGCTGGAGACGCTTCTGAAGGAGGTCCAGCTCGGCCGCAGGGAACGGCAGTGCTTTCTCTAGGAGGTTGGGCTTTCTGGCTTGCTGGTTGGTGGAGTGGCCCTGTGCCGCTGGGCGGTGCAGGGTCTGCTCTCTACCCTTGCTGCTGAAAGGCTAGGCCCTCTCTATCCTCCTGCGTTCTAGGGCTAGGGAATTCTGCTGCTCTGCCCGGGGTGTTGGAAATGGAGCGAAATATGAAGGAAGGAAGGTGGGTGGACAACCGTGGGGGTGATGGTGGAATGGGTTTTCAGGATTTCCGGCATCACGTAATGATCGTGCTCAACTTCTGCCCTTGCACTTGGGCTCGAGATCCCGCGAGATTCTGTCAAGGTAATCTCGACGGGTCCTGGAGAGTAAAGGGCGGGCGCGGCTGGCTGAGCCCCCAGAACTGGGACTGACCGCAACAGCCGCATGAGCCACAATACCATATCCCAAGGCTGTGATGATAACATACGACGTGCGAGGGATGAGGCCAACCTCCTGCTAAGTGTCAATGCCGTCCTCGTGGGACTCGGGGTAACCAATCATCCACACATTGGAGTTGGAAGCGCTGCTGTGTAACCACTCGGACATGGCTGCCCTGGTCGCCGAACCTGTACACACTACACGACGTCCCACTTTCGGCCAGGGCGTGCGCGGACGCGACCCGTGCAACTGCTATGGTCGGGGGAGGGGGAAGCGCCCTGGGAATCGCGGCTTTGGGAACAAGTCTGGCTTTGGCCTCTGCAGGGGCGATGCGGTAACGATCGGGCTGAGGGAGAGCCTGGCACGCCGAGCGGCTCCACCCGCAAGTGAGACGGGATTTGAACGATGTGCATGCAAACTGGGTCCCTATGCTGACTTGTGAGCCTGCTGGACAGCGACCTCCACAGGTCGGCCTGCAGTCGGCTCGGTGAGCTGTACACGTGGACATTCCACTCCCTAGCTACTTCAGCGCAGTCAGTGACGCAAGCTAAACTTCCCGACGTGAAACTGACGGCCCACAAACTCGTTAGGAGTTCCCCACGAGGCGTACTTTGCGATGGGCCTGCCAGAGGACTAAGTAGATGGGGCCCTGGCACTGAAGGACTAAAATCTTTGAACGTGACCACTACGGCCCCGACCCCACGGGGCGTGCAGTCGTGGGTGTCGGGGCCTCCTGAAGCATCCCTAAAGACCACGCGGGGGTCTTGAGGATACCCACTACCTAGACACTCGGGTCCATCTTGGCCCTCCCCCTCGAGGGGATTCTCAGCCCGCGCTTCGACAGATGGTGGCTGGGCGACTTTTGTCCAGGCTGCGGGGATGAGGCCCCGTGGCCAAAGAAGCATGGGAACGCATCTAGCTCAGCAAGGGCCCGCACAAGCAGACCGGACGAATCAGACTGCGCAATCGATCTGTCATTCTTTTCGCATGTCCAAGTGCGGTGCGCGGCCGTGTCCAGAGCATTGCCGCGCCGCAAACTCAAGTCTGGAGAAATTTGGCATCGAAGCATGTGGCCCTCGGCCAGGAACCTCCTGCAGCGATGCGCGTGAGGAGCTCGGGGGGCTGACGGTCCTTCCTCGCGCGCTGAAATCTCTGGATGAGCTTGGGGTGGGAGGCCGGGTAAGTGCCGTGTACCAAACCCCCGTCGCAGTGGAGTTCCGCTGCCTGTCGCCAGTGTTTCAGCTCATAGGATGATGCCAGCTCCTCCAGCAGAGGCGCCGCCTGGCTGGGGCCCGCGAACTCGCTCTCCTGGAAGATCCAAGCGTATCTGCTGTGGTCCTTGTCACTCGGGGCGCCCCGCGAGGTCGGAGATTCTGGATGCCGTCCTCCTCAAGCAGAGGCAGCGCGATTGGCGAAAGCGGCCCTCGAATGTGACGGCTCCGCTGCGCTAGGCGCACTTGCAACGTGTGTAGATCCACTCGCGGTCGCGCAGGACGGATGGGTCTGCGCGGCTGAGGTTCTGATGGCCACGCTGAAAGCCACTGCTCGACGCGCGCCCTGGGCGTCGCAGGCAACTCCAGGATCGGCGCCTGGAAGTCGAAGCCAAAACGCAATAACACGGTGACCTCTCCTTGACAAGCCCGCGCCCGTGCTAGGGCGGCGCCGCTGGAGCTGCATGTCGCGGGCGAGCATGCCGTGGACCTGGTAGCTGTGGATGGCTGAAGCCTGCGGTCCAGCTCGCTGCAGCTGCGCAGAGGCGCGCCGCGTCCGCGCTGCCTGCGCGAAGCGTCGAAGGCGACAGGTGGGGCTTGGCCGCCCTGGTCGCCCTCTTCGTGGCCGCCTCCCTGCCGCGGCGACGTCCAAGTGCTGGGGTCGACGCCCAGGTGAGCTGACTGCATGGCGCTGGAAAGGTTGACCTCCTTCCTGCACAGCGCGCGTGCAGCCGCGCTGGCATCCGCGTGGCGGGCGCAAGTGACCGCGCTCTTGGGCGCGATGTTGAGTTTCAATATCTTTAACTCCCGAGCTGTTGCCAAAACACCTCGGATCGAAATGCCTCGAACATGCCGACGTGAACCGACAGCCCGCGCGACGGATCATCTTTCCATATCCGCTCCGGCATCGGCGGGCGCGATATGCAACACTTCTTGTGCTCAAGAACCGTGGGGTACTTGGCCAAGCGCGTGCCATTCTTGAGGGCCCGCGCCGCTGACCGCGTCGCCTGGGGCGCCTCCGATAAGGCGTTGAGCTGATGCGGCGCCCTGGGCACTAGAGAATAACGCCGCTGGCGGAACTCCGTTCTGCGCCGCGCCATTTGTGAGAACTGGCTGCTCCATGCCGTTGTGGAGCTTCAGCGTCTAGAAGCGCACGTCCGCGGGGTAGCCG